CCAGACAGAGTTTTCTGCTTCTGTTTTGTGTTCAGACCATCCTTGAAAGGCGATATCAGCGTTACACAATTTGTGGGGTTTGGCGTTGTTTTCATGTAGTTTTCAGTTGCCTTTGTGGCGGTGTTAATTCCATGAAGGTTAACACAAATTCCTGATACGTACAGTTTGCCCTTGAACTGAGCATTAAATTTTTATGTCTTTTCTCATTTGGAAGAATTTTGTAGAAGCAAACAAGATTTACAGAAAAAGAGTGCAAATAAATCTTGTGATATTTAAACATCAGGATATTTCTTGTCAATCAATGTGTCTTGAGAAGTGCTAAACAGTTCTGATTTATACAATTTTACCTGATTAACCATCAGGAAAGTTCAGTATCAGTCTGAAGTAGTTAGGGACAGCCTGTAGGGCGAGTTGAACCAAAAAGATGTTCAAAAACTCAGTAATAGTATCAACATTTTCAGTCACGCTACTAAAGACTAACATTAACCGAGGTAGAGCCTGTCCAAATTCTGAGAATATGAATAGACATGAATATTTATGAAAGCAAGAGAGAAGTTTTGGCTTTCTTTGGGCATTAGCTGTGTGTTCAAAATTATTGGACAACACATACTGTGCAAACTCATTATGCAGCTGAATGGAAAATATTATGTTTTATGGTTTTCATGTTAAAGTGAATATTTAACATGAAACATAAATATCTCAAATAATAAAAGAAAACATATTTCTGGGAACTTGAGGTAGGTTGCAGTTTTGAAATATGAAAACAGTGGAGAAGAATTGGTTTCTGGTAGCTTCATGTTTGTTTTTCTGAGCACATTTTTTAACACTTTTCTGTGATCCTATTGACATTGTAAAAGCACATGTGATTGTATAGGGATCATGGGAAAATTCTCACTCTCTTAATTGCTATGCACACAATGTATGAATGACTCAGCATTCAAGTTACCTTAATTCTGTTTGTGAAAACATAAAAAAAAAATATATATATATATATATATATATATATATATATATATATATATATATATATATATATATATATATATATATATATATATATATTTGAATTCTTTCACATTATGGCCACCTTTGAATGAGACAGATATGGAAACTCCAATTTATGGACTGTTCAAACTAGAATGAGTTATTTTAAAATTATTACAGATTCTTTAAAGCACCTAAAGCTCATTTTAATCGAACTAGTACTTATACTCATTTTACAAATGTACTGATTCTTACTGTCTCCAAAAATACCACTCAACATGCAGGTTCAACCCCTATGAAATATAGATTAGCAGTAAGGCCCACAATCTTCTGCATGAAGGATGAAGAGTACTTTTAAATATTTAATTACATATGTTTGTTTGCTGTCTTGCATATCATGTGTTTATTTGAATTGTTGGTTGTGTATGTCCGTGTTTTGCTAGTCAAGACTCAGTGCAGAATATTCTACTAGAAACAAAATACAAACCATTCCAATCAGACATTCTTTGACTTGTGGCCCTTAAGGAAATCTTAAAATATTGATGCATGCTGCATTTCCAACTTTAATCTTAATACTGCTAAATAAAAACACATGTCTATATTAAGATGTTGTTAATTCAGTCCCCTGTCTTCAAGCTCTGAACAGAGGTAGCTGGTTATAAATTGGGAATTTTTTAGGCAACTATGATTCAAATTTGAAACATGCTTAACCTGAAGATTTGGTAATTACTAAAAGCCAGACTAAATCTCTTATATAAGAGTGTTGTTATTATTTTACCTATTTTGCATTTAGAACAATGTATTTCTTAAAACTTATGCTGTAGATGTAATTCCAGACTACACAATCCTCTTAGCTTTACCAATGAAAGACTGATGTTATCATTCACTCATATAGTTGTACTTTCTCCTGGAGTTCATCAAGTGATATTGATTCTGAACCGCAATCATAGTGAGCATCACTGAACTGCAGCATTTTATGCAACTGTAAATGAAAGCAGCTCTACATACAGTGCTGTAGTCCCTGTAAGTCTCTACAATTCCCATTTTCTATCCAACCATCTTAATCAATATTACACTGAGAGTCCTTTACTCTACTGATCGATCATGTCTCTATATCGCTGATGTGAAGAAAAATTGATTGCTGGTCCTTGAGCATACATGTGAGTGAACCTGTAAATAGCTTTGTTAATAATGCATACATTGCAATGACAGTCCTATTTTTGGTATGTATTTTTCAAGCGTCTTGATGGTCCATCCGACATTTGTTAAATTGGTATATTTTTCCAAATCTAAAATCGTATATTAGAATTAATTTTGTATGCTTGTAATAATACACAAGGAAGTATTGTGTATATGAATGAATGAATATACTTTATTAATCCCCAGAGGGATTACGTCTAAGTATTGGACTTAATTTTTGTGAACCATGCAGTCCAGGAATGTTGGACTCAGATCATCGACAAGAGCAATTAACGCACAAAACAGGATGCTTTTGTCTAGAGTTAGTCGTGCATTCTGTTTCACACCATTTAGTTTTCATCACAAAAGTGTGATTCTTTGTTCAGTAACGCATGTGCAGCATGAAAACTCATTTCCTTCTTAATAGACTTGATGAAGTAGTTATATATTTTTTTTTTAAAAAAAGACGTTGCGTATTGACCTTGTAAAAATTTCCCAGTGATCTTGATCAACAAACAAAATTTTTCATTTACATCTTATCCACATAAGAAAGCTCAGGGACATAAAATCACCTTGGCAAATATAACAGGATTTCCGTACAATAATAACCTTGTGTTTTCATGTCTATCATTATCTGAGGCAACCTCTTTCCATCTAGCTAATCTATCTTGACATCCAACACCATTGTTACCTCCACCTGCTGCAGTTAAAACACATGACCACCCTTTTAGAGCCCTCTTGATTAGAGCCAGGGTAAAAAAAGCTGTGAAAATGAAGACGTTTCTTCTAATTTCACACTCTGTGCTTGATCGTTAGGCTCTTATTATGCCCCATTTGCTTCCCTCCACTAGCTGTGATGAAAGGAGGGCAAAAAGGCCATGACAGGACAAAAGGAGGCCCTTCATCAAAACACATTTTGTTTGGGGTCTCTTTTTTTTTTTTTTTTTAACTCAACCCTTCCCCCCACATTACTGCCAACACTTTTTTTCTAGAGTTTCCCCTCTCCTGCATCCCTCATTAGTAGCCACCCCCACCTGTCTTCACATTCATTTTATTAAACTGCGATTGTTCAACGCTCTGTGCTCATCAGAACAGCCTGTCTGCTCCCATTTAATTGGCCCACAGCTTCCCCACTGCTCTTCAACAAGTAGGAAGGTCAATGGCTGCTTATGACCTGTGAGGATGATGTCTGTCAGTAGTGGGCAAAAGACTGTCTTACCCTTAAACCCCAGCATTCTAAACTGGCAAAATAAACATGCAACCATGCCTTTGTCCTCAACGCCGCAGTGATGACCCTTAGGGAGACAGCTGTTTTTAAACAAATGTGAAAATTCAAATTGTTTTGCTCAGCAGTTTTTCTACCTTCTTTCAATGGGTTCATAGTGTATATTGTGTATGTCATGTATGTTTTAAAGAAAGGCAACTTTAAAAATTATTAATATTTTGCCTTTTTTTAAGTTAAACTTTCCAGGTAAAAAGACTTAAATTTGGGGAAAAAAAAGAAAAAAAACACAACTTTATTTTCTATTGTTGCATTAGATATCTGTGTTTAGCCTGGCTGTTATAAAGGTCTAGGTCAAACCAAGCATCACGGTAGCCATAATTAAGAGGGACATGGGATTTAAGAACTAAAGCTGTTCTAATTAGTCAAAGTGTTTGATAGAATGCGCGTTTGTAACAAGAGGGGTGACTTTCTTCTCCCAGCCCGTCAAAATCTGTCAAAGTCCTCACTAAGTGGGGACTAATTTGAGAAATTATATCAGCTGTGAAGTGAAGAGTGAAGGGGGGAGAGAAAGTAGAGTCTGCAGTGCAGATGCAAAGTTGTTCAGTGGATGAGAACAGATTTTTTTTTTTCTTTTCACTTGGCCGAAATGCTTAGGTAGAGGTCGTGACCTGCACTGGTGGTTGGACAGTGCAGCGTTTAAAGCTGTTCTGATCCATGGCCAAGGCAGAGGTTTCATCTGAAGAGGATAGTCAAAGTGTGAAATCAAAATGACAAGGCGTATATTCAAGAGAATGTTCTTTATTCTCTCCATGATATTCTTTATTCTCTTGAATGAAGAATATTCTCTTGAATATTCTTTACAAGTAAAGAATATGAGTAAAGAATATTCTCTGGAATACTCTTTGCAAGTGCATCAATATGGGAAAGTTCTTTAGAATAGCATTGAACAGCTCCATTCAGTTCTAAAAGAAAAACTCATACGACATAAATTATGATTTATCATCTGTGTTGTATTTAAGCAATTTATAAAAGTTTCCTGATTGTGGCTTGCAGGAATTTGCAACATTGCATGACACTGATAAAGAATTTGTAAGGAAAAAAAAAAAAAAAAAAAATATATATATATATATATATATATATATAAACATGGCTTACTCCACCACTTACTGCAATATTGTATGCACTCAGTTCTGATTGGAAATTTTAGATCAAAAAAGCTGCTTCTCACTTAATCTTTTAAAAGTATCAAATGCATCCTTGCAGATTGAGTTTTCAGAGGACTTTTATTTGTCATCGCCATGTAATCAATTTGATCATAATATTACTGTAAGCTGATTAGTGGCAGTAATCAACTTTATTACAAAGTCTCCATGAAAACATACTTGCTAATCACTAGAGAAATTGCATTACCGGTACTGTAAGACAGTTTACATTAATAAGAAACATGCAACCCAGCCAGTGCTTTAATACTCAATTAAACTTAATTAAATTAATCAGAATAACAGTTTCCCTCAATTGCAGAGCACTATTTGTCTTCCTCAAGTTTAGTGTTTCAGCCCAACTTAACCACAAGAAAAATATTTATCTGCTGTTTTTCTGTGCCCTTCCACAGTGGGAGGAGGTGAGCGGCTACGATGAACACATGAACACCATCAGGACGTACCAGGTCTGTAATGTCTTCGACAGCAATCAGAACAACTGGGTACGGACAAAATACATCAGACGTCGTGGTGCACAGCGGATCCACGTGGAGATGAAATTCTCTGTTAGGGACTGCAGTAGCATCCCGAATGTCCCAGGCTCCTGTAAAGAAACGTTTAATCTATATTACTATGAATCAGATTCTGACACAGCCACCAGAACATCCCCGGCATGGATGGAAAATCCCTGGATCAAGGTTGACACCATTGCAGCAGATGAGAGCTTCTCCCAGGTGGACCTTGGAGGAAGAGTGATGAAGATTAATACGGAGGTGCGAAGCTTTGGCCCCGTGTCGAAAAACGGCTTTTACTTGGCCTTTCAGGACTACGGCGGCTGCATGTCACTCATCGCAGTCCGGGTCTTCTACAGAAAGTGTCCTCGAATCATCACTAATGGGGCACTGTTCCAGGAGACTCTGTCTGGAGCAGAGAGCACCTCGCTGGTGGCTGCAAGGGGTGTTTGTATCCCTAACGCAGAAGAGGTGGATGTTCCCATAAAGCTTTACTGCAATGGTGATGGAGAATGGATGGTACCCATTGGGCGCTGTATGTGCAAAGCCGGGAATGAGGCTGTGGAAAATGGAACCGTTTGTAGAGGTATGTGGTGGCTTTTTTATGTTAGCAACCTTTTAAGTCCAACAAATCACTGTGATTTTCCACTATAATGGAGTGATCCCACCGGACAAGGATTTTATTTATGCAATGACTATGTGTGGTAGTTCAATATACACTATTGAAAATGTATTTTCAGTAAAATACAATAGTGTTATAAGGTCGTTAAAAAAAAAAAAAAAAAAAAATGATGAAAGGTATACATTTTATGCAGAGTTTAACTGAAGCCATCATCACATTTCCATAACGGGTACATTGATCTCCTATTTATTTTTGAATATAAGTGTTCTGGAATATGACGTATTTTGATTATTCTTAAAGGTTTTGTGGGAATAATGCTTCCTGACCATGACAAAATTAGATAACTGATTGGGAGTTTTTTCATATGAAGTGAGCAGTTAAAATTATCACTTTTTAATGTGTAATTAAAGAATAATTTTAACATTATCCAAACTACATATATATAATTTTTTTATATTTAATATTTCTTTCAAAATAATAAAATTACCCATTTTCTGCTTTGTTTTTCACCAATATGTCCCTTCTCATCAACAAAACAGACATAAAAAAAGACATTTAATTTGTCAAAATGCTGGTGAAGTGCCTCTACTTATTTAACAGGACAATAAGTAGAGTTTTTTTTCAAAACTGGCCACATTTCTGTAAATTGGAATCTCTCAAAGGAGAATTGATCAAGCTTTTCAAAACATCGATGCACCCAACATTTACCTGCACCCTGCCCTATCCGTAGTCTGGCAGGTGGTATTTGGCCATTGTTGTTAGAGGTCTTGATCACTCGACGCAGCACGACATGCATAGCTTGCAGACTGGAGTCATGCTGATCCATCCAAGAACCTCAAACCACCCACCTGTGCTTCTGATCGGTTTATTCCTGCCTCTCATATGTGAGTCTGTAATTACAGCACTTCCCCGGAGTCTGTATGCTGGGAGGGAAATGGGATGGGTGCAGCCTTACAAACACTGCTGGGCAAGCTCAATGACTACTAATAAGGGCCGACACAAGCATCTTCTTATGGAACATAGGCCAGCAAGAAGCATTTAAAAATAGCTAGAAAGTGCATGAAGCATTCATAATGTTTTTTTTAAAATATATATTTATATATATGAAATTCATTGTGAATGTGGTGAATTTAAAGATAGAGATTTCCACTTTCCTTTCATCTTTCAAAGTTGGCCATGCAAGTTTATTTGTATAGCACCATTTTAAAACAAGGGTATTTAAAATAGCTTATAAAGAAACATAAAGAGAAATGAATACAGTTATATTAAAAACAAGAAATACATTAAGAAAATAACACCAAAACACACATTGAATAAAAGTCACCCAAGAATGGAGCTGTGAGGAATTCATCTATTTGTTCAGATTTGCAAATTGCAAATGGTACAAAGTAATTCTGTCCTGCCAAATAAGATCTTAACTAATCTAGTACAGTACTGGATAATCCCACCTACTTTTCCAGTCCGTCAATTACTGGTCTACGATCATCTGTGTTAAACTCAACACTAAGATCCAATAATGACACAGTGGTATTAGATTTATTGCTGATATATATTTATTTATTTTTTGTTGTTGATTCAGTTTTAAGTGTTGTAATATGACTAGAAATCGGATTACTTTCTGATCCACTGACTTCTCTTTACCACCAAAGTAAGGGTAATTGATTGGCCAAAAAGCGAGTGGTGATTGGAGGATATAATTAAATTGGAATACATAAGAGATGAGGTCACTTCATGCTCACACAATTTGACTGTATTATGGTCTACAAAAACATAAAACAAAAAAGAAATGAACAATTTCTAATTACAAGAAATAAGTACTTGAAAATAGAATTTCATCATTATTGCCCATTTTGAACATTTAATGTAGTAACTGAATATGAAAGCTTTAAATAGGAACATACAATCTCTAATGTGAAATGTGATGCAGGACATTGTTTTTTTACACCATGCAAATAGTTATAAATCTCAGGATAAATGATTGTGAAGTTTATTGAAAGAAAATACAACACAGTAACACTGATATTATTCTGGTGGTTTCGCCATTGTTAGAAACCTCTTTTTGATGGAAGGCATAGCTTGTCTGCTCTCCAGTCAGCTTCCTAAAGACAGAAAACTGATATCAGCTTTTGGAGCTGTGGTCAACCACTGCCTTTCAGCTGCAAGAGGTTGGATAATAAATTGATCTGTGAAAGATGTGCCTTGCCTGCCAATATTATGGGGTAATGAATTGATTTATGAGAAGTGCCATCAAAGGGTTTGTAAGATATCCTCTTTCATTATGGAATTAGGCTGCCCCACCAACTCACAGAGGAATCAAGACTCAGACACTGTTTTGTACAACAAACGCTCTCTTCCAACATCTTTACAACTAAACATGTAATTACGCATGTAACAATTAAACCGCTGGCAGGGATACTGACAAATAATTATGCTGTCAAGAAATCTGTCAAAATATTGACAACATAAGGTGGTGCTTACAGCAAATTGCAAAGGTATTTTTCTCTGCAATTGTCTTACAAGTGAGATTAAGTTTCCTCTCTAAGAACTGCAGTGAATGCAAGGAACCATGCAAAGGCCTTTCAGCAGAGACAGTCCTAAAAAGACAGATCTAATTTCCCCTCAGAGTCTTGAGGAGATGGTTCACCACAGTGTCACATCAGGTTTTCTTTGCCCTCGCCGGTTTCTCCAGATTGAAAAGCATTCCCCTCATTGGGGCACAACGAGAGCCATGTTCATGGGTGGAATTGCAAACTCCCTTAACAATGCCCATGTGTGTCTTTCAATGTAATCTGATCATCTAACCCCATACTATTGTGAGTTCAAGGGTCTCAACTGTGGGAGTGTGCCTCATGTTATTGAGCAATAAAAGTTTGGAAGCAGATAAACTGTCACAGAGATAACAATTTGATTCATTTCTTGGTTGCATGTGTTGGTGTGAGAGGCTGTGGGGAAAGCGTAGTGACCAATATGCTGTTGTTTGCTTAGCTTTCTAAGATGTAGCTGAGGGGAGCTAAAGATAAATTTGCATAGCTCATATTGCGAGGGCGGCGTAGAGAGGTGAACATGACTTTAAAGGTAGAGATTATCAGATTAACTTTTGTCAAATTGAGACAGATGTTTTGACATATTTGCACCCACACTGATTGCACATAACATTATCACCACTGACAGGTGAAATGTAAAAACTACAATGTTTTTCTTCCTCATGGTACCTGTCAGTAGGTGTAATATGTGTGGTTTATTCACATGATTTTTTTTTTTTTTTTTACCCCAAAGCTGATGTGTATTAAGCAGGAAACAGAAATAAATTTAAGGATTTCTATAAGTCTGACAATGGCATCTCCAATGACATCGGCCCTTCTGTAGTTTTGAAGGCACAGCTTTTGGTCAGTGTCTATCCATTCATCCATTGCAATGTTCTGGTGGTAAAACTAAGTATTTCTCATGCGAATGTTACTTTGAACATACACACAGAACACACCTTTTCACAGAAAATTATTTCATGATAGCTATGGCTTCTTTGAGTAAGACAATGTTCTCTAACATAAAGAAAAATTGGCTAACAAAGATTTGGAGCAGCACAACAACCACTTTGAGTTGTTGACTTTCCCTCTAAATTCCTCAGAACTCAATTCAATCTAGCATCTGCAGAATGTGCTGCACAAGCAAGTCAAATTCATGCACGTTCAACTCTGCAACTGACTTAAAGAATCTGCAGCTAACATTTTGGAGGTTGAGACAAAATCACACCTCCAGAGGTTAGAATGTTGGTCATTTAGCTTCCTGTCATGTTGTGTCTGCAGTCTTGTTATTAACTGGTTTTGATAACTTATCCCAACTAATTTTATACATTATACTCATTGTCAAATGTAGGAAAGGTGGTTGACCTGCTCCGAAAAATATCTACCAGCATAGTTATTGTTAGTCAGTTTTCATAAATGAGAAATATGGTAATGTTTTAGATAATAATTTAATTAAATTATTCACATGATGTGAATCATTTTGAGCATTTAATGTCTTAATCCATTAAAATAAAGGACTCCAGAAAAAAAAAAAAATAAGAGGATTCACCAATTTCAGCCCAAAGTATGGTAAATGGATTGTTCACAGAACTAGTAGGAAACAACACAATTTGTTGGTACAAAATGGTGATGCGATTTGGTGAATTGATTAATTGATCTGGAGCCATTTACTGCAGTCAAAAGGAATTAAAATTGACTTCATGACTTTACATATTCATGTCAACTTATGCTTTCAGTCATATTTTGACCCAATACCCTTTTGTCTTTTATTTTTGTTTGGACAAATTCCTATCTTCATAATTATAAATGTTGCATAATGAACATTTTCAAGTAAATTAAATAATTGTGTGAAATGTTACTTGGCTATCTTTATGTCACATGGATGATAACTATCTGAAGGTGAATTCGGAACATGACAAGAGACCTTAAATGTCTCTGGGACATACATGTGGAAATTATCACCTGATCTACAATCTGAGTTTAATGTATATTGTACATTGACCCTATTTTAAATAAATACATTGTAAAAAGTAAATTGTCTCCTGGTGAGGATGGCATCAGTTCTAACAAGTATTGTCAAGTAAGGTCCCTGTTGCAACAAAGCAATTGGGTAAAGAGAAAAGTCTTAAATTCTCGAATCAAGAGTGGCCGTAGATGAGACGAGTTAGGGGGATCTAGTGCATAGGAAGGAGCAGTGCAGACATGATTACATGAGAAAGAAGAGGGAGGAGGGAGCAGGCAAAAGCAGGAAATGAATCCCCATAACATACTGTCAGAATCCCAATTATTGCAGCTTCCTGGTCTGGAGAGAGTTTAGGGCTGGAAATCAGTGTAGCACAGACAAATTCACGCCACTGCTTTTATTTCCCCTGCCACTCCTGTCTTTAATGGCAACACTAATTTACTAACAGTGCAAGTGGGGAACAACCCCACTGATGTCTG